AATTATACATAGTAGCATGGCTCTTTCGGAATCTTCGATTTTCGCTTGGAGTTCTTTGAAGGTGAGTTCAAGTCCTTTCCTGTGACGGTCAAGGTGAGCGGCATGTTCGTGCTCTTGTCGAACTTCCTCGGACAAACGTTCAGCGTCAGCAGCAGCCTGAAAAAGAGCTTTTAGTAAGAAGTACTGTAGCAGATGTTAAAGATTACCTTGCGACCACGCTCCTCAGCAGCCTTCAGTTCGTTCAGGTACTGATCAAGCTCGTTCTGTAATATTTTATCTGTTAGAGGTAGAAAGGACGTTGAAGGAGACTTACTCTTGCAATAGTGACATCGTTTTCGACCTTTCTCTTCAGCGCAGATAACGCAGAGTTGTTAGAGACAAGCTCGTTGTTTTGTGATTTCAGGTCTGCCTGATCCAGTTCCAATTGCTTCTTGCTCTAAAACAAAGTGGAGGTATTTCGCAATTTTCTAGGCATTGTGATGCTTGTTTGGTGCATGAAATTGGGTAGAATAATTGTATACAAAAGCCAAGATCTAGAAAAATTGTACCCCGAAATTCTTCTTTTGTGTGAAATTTGTCTCTCAAGGGTCAGAAATTTTGTAAAAAGAATTGAGATTCGCAGGAGGCTTCAGAGAAGGATAACACTAAAGGTTACTTGCTTTGGTCAGTAGCGTGTAATTGCAGAAGGAGCTAGCTTGGAATCTGAGTGTAAAGTCGACTGCACGATCTCGCCCGGATCGGTGTAGACTGAACGCACGCGAGCGTGTCTGCAACGCGGCTACCAAATACAGGTGCTATGATGACACATGCGCGCGAATGCAATGTCAGCCGGCAAGAGACATGCTCACGGGCGTATCTGGGCGATTCCGTGCAGTCATACCAACTTTGAGGTAATTAACCTCCATACAATTAAATGACACATTTGATCGATTGCGTTCCTCATCTCTCATCTTACCAAGTTAAAAAATCCTTTACAAATAAACCGGTACCCTTGAATGTCAGGCTTCTTACAAAGATTATGAAACTTAACCACCCCTCATGATGGTACAAAAACCTCACAAACCTTCTCAGCGGTGTCGATTCGTTGCAGAACCTCTTCGGTCTCGGAAAGTGCGACGGCCAGTCTCTTCTCGGCTGCAAGGTAATTCTCACGAATCTCCTCCCGTCGTCGTTGCTCCTCGTCCACTTGTCCTTGTAGTTCTTTCACCTAAAGGAGGTTCACAAAGGTGAGAGATTATTGGTCTGCATAGCAGATTCAGGTGCTTTGGTTGCAAGTCGGATTAGCTCACCTGATCGAAACAACGTTTGAGGGTCTTTTGTGCATCGACATTCGATTTGTTGGCCTGGTCAAGGGCGATCTCTAGTTGATTGATATCGCTCTCCAACTTCTTCTTGGAACGCAGCAGTTCGGCTTTGCTCTTGGCTTCCGTCTCAAGCGAGGCCTATAAACACTTATTGCTTGTGTAAAGTATCATCATCCGATGTAAATTCTGACCTGAATAGACTCCAAGGCTCGTTGATGATTCTTTCTCGTGTTTTCGAACTCGTCTTCCTTCTCCTGAATACGTTTCTCCACGTCCGATCGGATTTGCTGTACCTCGACTTGGGACCGAAGGACCTAAACGCAAATTTGATGGGTTCAGTCGCAGACACAGTCCCCTATCTTACCTTGCTCTCTTCGGCTTCCAAAGCACTCTCAGCCTCATCGAGAGCGTGCTGCAACTCTTCCTTTTCCATATCCATCCTCTTCACTGCCTTCTGCAACTCGTGGTATGTCCTGCCACCTTGGGTGATTTGTTCGTT